GTGGGAGAGGGAGAAGCAGGCTTCCCGCCGAGCAGGGAGCCCGATGTGGGGCTCGATCCCAGGACGCTGGGATCATGACCTGAGCCGAAGGCAGATGCTTAACGACTGAGCCACCCAGGCACCCCTGAAATTCTGCATTTTTAACATGTCCCCAGGGGCTACACATGGTGATACGAAGTCAGTAAATGCAACTCAAAATTTAGACTTCTGCTAATCTAGTCAGAAAGAGAACAAAAAATAAAATACAAACTAAACACGGAAAAGGCTGAATTTCATTAGCTGTTAAGCTTTAGCGAAGTCAGAGTCCACTAGCTTGTGTTAATAACTAGAAACTCCACACAAATAAATGAGAATATCCACAGAGGATCCAAACATCCTGACTTACAAAACACTTTCTGCTGCTCTTAGGCAAGGGCAGGTGGGGGTTTAAATACTGGTCAGTTGTGAACATTGCTTCCTGTAATAGGAAACACCTCATTTCAGCACTTGGGACTATTGTAAAACACACCTGAAGATATGACACGAAATGGGACATGGAGGCAGAAGTAGCTTTCCTCTCAAAAACCATGTGTATAGGAGAGCTGACAAATATGTATTTTTCTGCTAACTCTGGGCTTGCCACCATCGGCCCACACCTACGCAAGTCAGAGGTTGCATTTGCTCTTTCGAGGACATGCAAAGTGACAAGGCACCAGTCAGCAGATTACTCCTAATGCTATTAAATGTTGCTCTAATTTTTCCCTGCCAAATAATGGCTGATTTCGACTTGACTGGAGTAACAAGTTCGGTAGGAAGACAGAACTCCTAGCTTGCCGTTCTTTATTTTGAGTCTCTTCCTGATTTGGCAAGGAATCAGACAATAATTCCCTCAATTTCAAAAAGCTTGATTTTCAGGTAAATTGAAAAACATTTCATCACCACAAGCCGGTCCAAGCAGATCAGAGGAGAAAAGAGAACTGCCCCCACCACCCTCACTAAATCCACAGAAGCTGCGGGATGGTGATAAACGTCTTCTCTACCTTGCTTTCGTCCAATGAATCAACAAACTGGTCTGTCAATTTAGATTTCCGTGTAGCCAGTCATCCCTGAAGGCACTAACATGCGGAGCTGTGTGAAGGGTGGAGGCAAGATGGGAGAAGAGCTTTCATTTATGTCCAAGTGGGCTGCTGGATCTGAACGTCCCAGATGAAAGAGAACTGAGACAAAGCAAGCGTGGGTCTGTGGAGTGAGGAGCCAGGTGCCAGTCAGGCAAGGGGGGACCACCCCAGAGGAATTACTCAATGGCATCTGTCCTCCAGCCAGCACGGAGCAGAGATCAGCTCAGGGAGCTCTGTTAGTGACTGAATTCTAAGAAATGTTCTCGCCATCAACTGTGGGATACACAGGACACAAAAAACTTGCGAGCAAACCAACATTGCCTTCTGATGGTACAAATAACTGAAAACCGTATCTGGGGAGCCCCACGAATTCAACAGCGGTAACGAGAAGCTTGCTGGGCAACGCGAGTTGTGCATGACTAATTACAGCGGGCTTAGCACAGGTTCTAAGAGAGAGAAGCGTTCGAGTAGATACTGTTTGATTCAACTCTGAGACACATGTGACTATTAAACTTTAATGCAGGGCTGTCGCAACTGTCTTTCTGTCCTTCTTCCCAGGGGCCAATTGTTTTCATAGAACACTACTACTGATAAAGTTTCAACGAATCTCATTAGAGTTCAAGAATTTTATTAAATCAAGAATTTTGGCAATAAAATTATTTTCAATGGTTTACAATAAACACTTTATTATTGTAAATCTTTCTTGAAGAGAGACTTCAAAACCTACAGGTCCATTAACCTTTAAAAATCTTCCCAGCTTGGGGGTGCCTGGCTGACTCAGTTGGTGAAAAGGGCAACTCTTGACCTTGGGGTCATGAGTTCAAGCCCCACGTTGGGTGTGGAGTCTACTTAAAAAAAAAAAAAAAAAATCTTCCCAGCTTGTGCCATTTTCTTCAGCAATGAGGTATCTGATGTGTGTGGGGCATGCCCTTCCCCCAAGAGGCATGCTGCTTTCCTGGAAGATACTTTGTTTTTTATGGAAATAGTTTCTTTTTTAATGGTATGATGTTAAAATCCCATCCCAGTAAACAATGGATATAGTAAAGAAAATGATGAGTTTTTCTGACTCAGTTTCAAGTCATAGTGAGAGTAGTGATGATGGCCAGTGAGGTCAGCTTTGGAGACAAGTGAAAGTCATGTAGTTTCTCTTTTTTACGACCACTAGAAAAATATACTTCCTGGGTCTGATAGGAGAGAAAGAGACGGTTTCCTGGAATAAAGGCTGCTGAACAGTAGCAAAGAGAGCAGGTATGATTTTAAAAGAGTGAACTTTCATTAAATTCTGGGGAAAATGCACTTGAAAAAAAATTTTTTGAGATGGATTTGCTGAATTTCTTTTAAATTTTTCACAGAACAGTAAAGAGATAAGAAAGGAAATCCTTAAACAGTTGGGGGTATAATGAGTACCACACAGGATACTTTCAAAGACTGGGAATGGATACCGTGTATTGCTTGGTCAGATGGTGTCAAAATGTTGGTCGTCCTGGAAATGCCTGCTAACCTAGGTTTCTCACAGCGAAACTCTAGGTTACTTCATTGAGGAAGGGAACCCATTATTTTGTTTTTATAACTTCTATGATTATAACATACACATTTCTTACGGAATATGAGTCATGTGGAAGAGCAAATATAAGATAGTAGAAGTCACCTGTAATCCTATCTCCCAGAGATAATGAGTTTTGAAGCTTTGATGTATTTTTTTTCCTACTACTTTTTCTTTATCTTTTTGGCTTCTTTTGGATAGGTCATACCATCCATATGATTCCATAATCTCCTTTTCTCAACTAACATAAACAATTTCCCATTTTACTAAAATTAATAAAAAATATAATATTAATAACTATATCGATATTAAATAATACCACTATTTATTAGATTATCCTCTTTTCTTAGGCAAAATTAACATTTTACTGAGTGCCTATCTGTGTGCCAGACATTTTACATATATTCACAATGGTTTCATGAAGCTGGTATCTCCATTGAGCAGATGGGAAAACTGAGGCTCAGAGAGGTCAGGTAACCTAATCAAAACAACACACCTCATAGGGGTAACAAGTTGCAAGTAGGCCTCAAATTAGAAATCAGATCTCAATTAGGGCCTACATGGTTTTTTTCTACACAATGCTGCCTTCTAATTTATTTAGGGATACCTAAGATCCACTGGTCCTTAACAAAATTGGAAGTTTGTCTTTCAATATGCACCCAGTATTCTCCTTCTGAGACTTTTTCCTTGGCACATTCTCTTATCACATCAAACCTTTTAGTTCCTTTTTCCGTGGCTCAGAGTGTCAAAATACTGGAGGGGAAGGAGAATGGTGTTGACACTAAGCTTATTCTCATCCTTCCTCTCCCTTGGGATTAGCTCCAGTCTAGGTCCCCTCAACCAATCCTGAGCACTCTGCCCTCTCAGACTGACTCATGGAAGTGTGGGAGGGGCTCAGAGAATGTGGCCCTTTTGGAAATCGAATCCAGTATCGTTTTGTCAATGATGTGTATGTAGGGGAAAAAGATAGGGAGAGAGAAAGTCTAAATCACACTTAGCATCAGGGAAGACTATCCCCACTAGGGCTGATTGTAGGCTCAAAGAATGACCAAAGATAAGAATGAAGGGGGGAAATCGGAGGGGGAGATGAACCATGAGAGATGATGGACTCTGAAAAACAAACTGAGGGTTCTAGAGGGGAGGTGGGTGGGAGGAAGGGTTAGCCTGGTGATGGGTATTAAAGAGGGCACGTTCTGCATGGAGCACTGGGTGTTATATGCAAATAATGAATCGGAACACTACATCAAAAATTAATGATGTAATGTATGGTGATTAACATAATAATAAAAAAAATAAATTAAAAAAAAAAAAAGAAAAGAAACGAATACCTAAGAATCCAGTTTGGTTATATAAAAATCACATGAGAGTTATTTGTGTGGTCTGATTACTATTGTGCAAATTTCTGTGGAACACTATAATTATACATATTAAATATGTGCCAGATTTATTTGACATAATCATTACAAGACTGCCTGCTTGCATCTTATAAAAAAATGAGAACAGGGAATTTACATGTCTTATAAGATAAGGATATGAAGGAGGGCAGGACTGAGTGGAGGCAAGAATACTGAACATGGGCCTGGAAATCTGGGGATACAGACCCATGTTTGCCAGCAGTGTGATCTGAAGTAACTCCACTTCTCAAGAGTCTCAGTTTTCCCGCCTATAAAATAGCAGCATGCTTCCTGCTATCAAGAGTTACAGGTGAGGATCATCAGTCAAAAGATGTGCTCCTCCATTGTGCGTGCTGCAGAGAACAGATATCACACATTGGAGGTAGTCCACAGTCAGGGGTCAGTGGTGAATATTTTCAGAGTATTCTCATGAGTCAGGCACTGTGTGAGGTGCTTATGGATCTGGTGCTGAATGATACTGGCAGGCTCTCTGCTCTTAGGGAACTCACTTCCCAAAGGGGGAAGACTGAGAGTTTTCAGTGATGGCAATTAAATGCCAGAGATATTAGAAAAGCTCTATGTTAAATGTCTGTAAATTATAAATCACCCAGCGTACTATGAAGGAGAAGTATTTTAATAACAAAATTTTGAAAGACGGCTCACATACCTGCCATCCATCTCGGATCTTCTGATTGAAGATTCCATATTCGTATCGGATGCCATATCCATAGGCTGCAAGTCCCAGGGTTGCCATGGAATCCAAGAAGCAGGCTAAATTAAAGTAAATGCAGAGTCATCAAGGTTAGTCCAAATTTCATCCTTCTTTAAAAAAGATGGCAGCCACAAAACATTTTTTCTCTGAAAAACCACATTTGTATTTTAAAGCAGAGACAGCTGTGCAGTGGGTATTATTTTAAAATAACATTTTAAAATTATAAAATGAGTATTATAGAAAAGTCAGAAAATACAAAAATGAACACAGAAGAAAATAAACAGCATTTACTATCTTGCCATCTAGGAGTAACACTGTGTACATGTTGGAATTTCATTTGAGAACAGATAAGGAAGCTGGCCTGCCTTAGATATATCCATTATTGTGCCCATCACTCACATTGCCCTTTCTCAGGGAAGCTGTCTCTATGGCCCCCTGCTTGAAAGATGGCCCCAGGAGAGGATAATTTACATGTGACCACCTAACCAACTAGCTGGACACCTGTGGCAGACTCTCTTTCTGGCCAATGGAATTCCAATGTTGTTCGGATATCAGGGGGCCATATGCTTCAGGGAGGCTGGGCCAGGAAACGAATCTTGTTTTGGTCTAAGCTTCTAAGCCAATCATAGTAATTCTATTTCCTTCACCAGTGATTGGTTTTGGCATGAGCACGCAATGACCTACAATCTAATGAGAGGTGCTAGGAAGTCTGCTAGGTACAGTGAAAGATTTCCTTGCTCCCGCCATCTTTTTTTCCATGGGAGGAAAGCCCAAAGAACCACACAGACCCAGAGTCATGCTGTTGAATAAACTAATCTTGGAATGGCCGAAATTCTGGAGTCCTTGTTTAGTCAGTGATAACACACGTCCTTGTCGGTTGAACCAATTTTTGCTAGATTTTCTGTTACTTGTAGCCAAGAGCATTAATGACAGAGCCCCTGATCCAGAGCAGCCAATCAAAAGGCTGGGAAGGGGTGCGTGGGTGGCTCAGATGGTTGTGCATCTGCCTTTGGCTCAGGTCATGATCCCAGGGTCCTGGGATTGAGCCCCGCATCAGGCTCCCTGATCAGTGGGGAGTCTGCTTCTCCCTCTCCCTCTGCCCCTCCCCCTGCTCCTTCTCTTTCTCTCTCACTCACTATCTCTCTCTCTCAAACAGATAAAATCTTAAAAAAAAAAAATAAAAAAAGCTGGGCAGGGATCTATGTTTTGACCAGATGCTATCTGAAGGGTTACACCAATCTGATTGTCCCTCTCAGGAATGTGAACTGAGAAATATACAGAGAATGAGGAAATGTATAATAGGATCTAAAACTGAAAAGAACATTTGTAGACCAAACAGAAATGGGCTAAGTTAGGTTCACGGTGGGGCTCTAAAACAGAGGATCCACAAAGGCCAATGGCCAATGCCTTCAAGTTACTGGAACCTCACAGTGGTCTTCCAGTCCCGATGCTCATGTGGCCTGACTGCTCCAGTTCCTGCTCTCTCAGAGCTGTGGCCATTTGTCCTTTCCTGGGTCTTGATCAAATTATCCTTAGAGCCTGACCAGAATGGGGTCTCAGCCTTTTCAGTCAAGCAGAGATGAGGCCATCTCATGAGAATCACTCAGCCTCGTTCACCACTTCACTCTCTGCACTTATCAGCCAACTGAAGGAGCAAGGTCATTAATATCAGGCACAGAGTGGGGTTAACCCAGCCAACAAATAGGCCTGGGGCTTTACAGAAATGAAAGGCAGGCTGGTTGTCATTCTTAGATGTGTGTGCCACTGGTTCTGCTGGTCTTCTTACAGCCTCGTGGAAAGCCTACTAAATTGCCCAATGGTTGACTTTACAAGGTAGTAAGTATCTCTAATACTGATAGCAATGTTAATGCAAACTGCCACTAGTGTAAGGAGTAAATACCATGAAACACACACAAATGGATTTCCAGTAACTTGAAAGTGTGTGTAAAATTAAGAGATATTGGAATCATTTTTGAAAAAGAAGAAAGAGATTATTTTTCATAGAGTGCAATCTGATGAAGACATGTATGGTGGTACATTTTTATTATTCAATGTAAATTTCACAAGTACACTGTATGTTCATTATACTGGAATTAAAATAAAAAATAACTTTCACAAGTAATATATCCTCATTGTAAAAAACATTACAACATTACAGACAGGGTGAGCACCCCCAGCTCTGCACTCCTCTCTAGGGAAGATCAGAGGGAGCACTTTAGTATTTCAAATTCCAGACTTTTTCCCCTATGGATTTACACATATACTTACAGAAAATATTTAGTTTTTAAAAAACATAAATAGTATCACACTGTGTTGTTTCTAATGCCACTTGCCTTTTTTTTCTTCCCCCTTAGAGGTCTATATAAAAGTACATAGATCAATTTTATTGTTTTTATTCTTTTATTGCATATTTTTCTGCAGCATACATGTTCCAGTACTTATTTACCTATTCTCAGATCAAGGGACATTTGGTTATTTCTAATATTTTGCCTTAACAGACAGTACTGTAATAATTTTTTAACATGCCTCCTTGTGCACATGTTGAGTGTATCTTTAGGGTAGATATCAGGAAGTAGAATTGCTTGGTCACAGGGAAGCGTATTTTTAATTTTAATGGAGTTGGTATTATCTTTTTAATGTTTTCCTTTACATTTGTTGGAAAAATCATTTACTGGATAAAGCACTGGAATTGTATTCATACAAAAAAAGATATTAATGAACCAAATCAGACCAATAATATAATAAGTGGATCATTGCCTACCGGTCAATAAGAAAGCAGACAAGACAACAACACAACGGTGAAACAACTCAGGTCACACCTCACAAGTATGTGAAGTGAGCAGCTGTAGACAAACAACAGTGAAGGAAAGGGGCCACTTTGGAAACCCTGAAGTGCACAGGAAGGAGCCGGTTAACTTTGGGGTTTTTAAGCAATGTCTCCCAGGGTTTTAAGCAACGTCTCTTTGGTTCAAGTTCCCTTCTCTGCTCTTTGTGTAGAACTGACCAAACCACAGTGCAAACCCAAAGACAAAGACATCTGTAAGCCAGGTCACACCTTGCACTCCTCCTGGAGAGCCTGTCTGGCTCTCCCAAGCATGGTCATGCACGGCATCTGAGAAGCCGTCACCTGGCCAGACAACACATAACACACTCACGATGTCACTTACCGGCCAGCCTCCCAAGACCCCCATTGCCAAGCCCGGCATCCTCCTCCATTTCTTCCAGCTCTTCCATATCCAGTCCAAGCTGGAGATGAAAGGAAAGCAACATTGGATGCAGGCACAAATGCAGGCCATTTCAGGAAGCACAGTCCTTTCCTTAGTCCCTCGGTCAGGCATCCAGGGTCCTCCGTCAGCTCCTTCACAGAGTGTTCTGACAGCAGAAACCCCCTGCAAATGCTGGTGACTGCAGATGCAAACCATACGAGATGGCCCAGCAGCAGCGTGGGAAGGAGTGTGGGCTCCAAAGGGCCATTACTGGCTCTGTTACTTCTTAGCTCTCTGACTTTGGGCAGCATAAATCTCTCTATGCTTCTCCTCTCTTATTTAAAAAAATGAGGATAATAGTATCTGCCTGATTTAGGGCTGTTATGAATTAAACGAGCTTATAGAAACAAAGCATTTAGAATTACCCTGAACAGATATTTCTCAATAAATGTCAGCTATTACTATTTCTTAAAATTATTATTATTATTATTTTTTGTGCTGTAGGGGTAAACCCTCAGGAATGGTCCAGCACCACGCTGACACTAACCGGGCTGAAGGATTTTGAACACTATCAAAAAGTATGAGGTCAGGGCGCCTGGGTGGCTCAGTTGGTTGGGCGACTGCCTTCGGCTCAGGTCATGATCCTGGAGTCCCGGGATCGAGTCCCGCATTGGGCTCCCTGCTCAGCGGGGAGTCTGCTTCTCCCTCTGACCCTCCCCCCTCTCATGCTCTCTCTCTCATTCTCTCTCTCTCAAATAAATAAATAAAATCTTTAAAAAAAAAGTATGAGGTCAGACTTCCTGGGATAGACTAAAGTTCATCTTTTCATGACCGCAACACATTTACTCACTAGGGTCAATAACTGTTAACCCAAAACCACTTACTGAGTCACTGCCCATGAGACCTGGGACCAGACTGCAGTCCGGGGAAACAGCCCTGAGGGCTAGCTGGACGAGGGCAAAAATCCTCTACTTCTTTCTGAGGTGGGTAAGAGACTATGGGAGGTCAATGAACATCTGTGACCTTGGTGATGGATGGAATTGATGGCCAGCCAGCTCTCTGCCCCCGAGTGTTTGGCTCCCACAGCTAGAGGCTGGTTAGCACCAGCGTGGACTCATGTCAGGGCTGTGCGGTCCTGGAGATCCCTTTGGGCTGCTCATCTTACAATGAGAAAACTGATGGCTAGATAAATTAAATGACCTCTCCTATGTTGACTTGATAGTAATCTAGCCCATGGATGGCTAACAGTGGTTTGTTGTGAAAATGACGGTATTCTTATCTGAAAGTGAGGCAATCCATCAAATTAGACATTATTTAAAATGGGAAGATAATTTACACATTTACAAACATATATGTAAATTAGAACCATGCTTGAAGTTGATGCCCCAGTTTCCATGAGCCACCTTCTTGGGTCCCCTGCCCTTACACCAAACGTGGCTTTTTCACACAAGTCTTGACAACTAAATCTCCTGAGAGTTCAAAAATAGCTTCGCCTCTGTTTATTTTTGGAGGGGCTTTCAAATGTGCTCCCCGGTGACTAGAGTTTACCGGGGTCGTTGTGCAAGCCAACAACACAACGGTGAAGCAACTTAGGTAATATCACACCAATATGTAAATCGAGTAGCTGTGAACAAATAACAGTAAAGTAAAGAAGAGGCCACTTTGGAAACCCTTCAGTGCTAATGCTAACACTCAGGATTTTTTCAGTTCTAAACATGGACGTCTCAAGTAGGCTGTAAACCTTGAGGAGGTTGACATAGGTTACTTCACCCACCCCAGGCCAGGGGAGGTATATTATTTTCACCTGCTATCAGGGGAGGCAAAGAAAAGGGAAACAGAGGGGAGCTGCAATGATTCTTTCATAGAAAATACCTAAACCCTAACCGCCACGAAGGAAACCAGCCGTTGGCCACAGTAGCTGGTCACACAGGACAATCCGATGCCAAGGAAAAGGAGCAGTTTGGATGGTCTCTCATTTAGAATGTATCTTTGCAAATACACATGCCCCCTTTCTGTCACATGAAAAGGATTAAGAACTATTTGTTTTTTGGCATGGAGATCCTTGAAGCTCTGGGGAGAAACAGTTAAATACGTTCCGTAAAAACAAATTAGCATATTAAGCTTAAGACCTCGAGTTCCTCATTTAAGGAGGAAGTGTATTTTACATCTCATTAAGCAGTAAAGAAAGTATGTCAATGTAATTTCAAAAACTTATTATTTATGCATGTTGCCTTGATATATGAATAATAGTCAAACTTTGATCATTTTTAAAACTAGAGAGGAGGGGGGCTTGGCTGGCTCAGTTGGTGCAGTGTGTGACTCTTGATCTAGGGGTTGTGAGTTCGAGCCCCACATTGGGTGTAGAGATTACTTAAAAATAAGTTCTTAAAAAGAAAAAAAGTAGGTAGGAGCTCAAAGTAGAACTTGTGACTCTGAGAGCAGGGGCTCAGGTACCTTTAAAAGGTTTGTTTAGATACTAATTCCTAACATGTAATTTGCTGGGGAATGCTGTCAAAAACTGATTACAGAAGAAAATTCTCATGAGGCAAAACCAGTTCTCTAACTTTGTCTCTCTCAAACCAGAGATCTCCACTAGTTTATATTTCTAACTGTAATAACCATAGCTAGAGAAGCAATTTTTCACTTTTTTTTTTTTTTTGGTGCTACATTCCCAAGGTTCCTGAATTGAACTTGAAATTTAAGGGGAGAGAATGAAAGAAATACGGAGACAACGTACCTGGTAAATGGCCTCGTCACAGGCATTTTGCAGGCCAAGGTTGATCATGGTGTTCTGTAATGTTCGGCCCATGTAAAATTCCAAAGAGAGGTAATAAACCCTCTGAAACAAAGAAAGGTCATGTTAATGCTGGAAGGCCAGTGTTCCTTGTCAACATAAAAACACAAAAGGTCACCAATAAGAAACAAACAGGCGAGACTAAGACAGAGACTCCTAAAGATGGATGAAAGGCTAAATACAAGCAATACTGACAAATGGCTTTGAGAAAAACCATTTTATACCCTATTTTTTGGCAAAGTAGTTTTTATGCCCAGGGAGAAAAAAAGCAAACTCATCCAACTAATTAGATTCAATGTTTTGTGTGTGTGTTTTCCTTCTCGTTCATGAGCCTCATGAATTAAGCATATGTTTGGACAAACAGAAGTCAGATTGCCATAGCTCATCACTCATTTTAACATATTTATATGATGAGAGTCAGGTGGGTTTGACTGTGATCATCTCAACTCATCTAGAAAATGTAAAGATTAACTCCTTCAAGACACACACAGTGGCTAGAACATAGCCAGTGTGTCTGATTACTGCAAGTAATAGTACAGTTAATTATTTTAGAATAAAATGATTCTAGAAACGCTGTGGTCTGGCAATAACAAAAGACTACTTCAGGTTTATTGGTGTTTGTTCTTGATGAAATGGGAAATTTCTCTATCAACTCAGCAACTGTTCGCCTTTGACATAAAGCCAGGTAAATACTATTTGAGATGAAAATGAAAGGTGCCAAGGTCAGAGTTGCCTAAAACCTTTCAAAATACAAGCTAAGTTTACTAACTTAAAAAAAAAATAAGGAAGATCAGTGAGTAACTTCATCATCCCCTTTTACAATACCTTACTTTCCATAACGCTTCCCCTTTTCTTTTCCGCCAAACATGAAACAAATATCTATAAATGCATCAATATAAAGTCACTTCAGACCTGTACCTCTGAAACAAATAATACATTATATGTTAAAAAAAAAAAAAAGAAGATAGTAGGAAGGGAAAATCTGAGAGACTATGGACTCTGAGAAACAAACTGAGGGTTTTAAGAGGCGAGGGTTGTGGGGGGATAGGTTAGCCTGGTGATGGGTATTAAAAAGGGCACGTATTGAATGGAGCACTGGGTGATATACGCAAACAATGAATCATGGAACACTACATCAAAAACTGATGTAATGTATGGTGATTAACATAAAAAATATACATATATATTTTTTTTTAAAGATGTTATCCAGTATTACAATGCTATGGACAATAAAAATTGTCAGTGTTATAAAAAGCAAAAACAAAAAAAAATTTTAGGGATTCCTTCATTACCCAATAGTGAGAACCCAAAAGAAAAGTATTTGGTCAAACCCAAAATATAAAAAGACTATAGCTCAATATCAAAAATGCTTATTATAATATTTAACTCATTAGTTACACATATATATTTAAAATATTATATGAAAATGTCAACTTGGAAATTTCACTTTTTCCCACTTTCATCTTATGAAACAACTGAATTCTAAGTGTTCCCATGGATTGTCAACATCCATATCTTAGTGGTCATATAACATGGTTTTCCAGAGCATATCCTCATTATTTTTATCCAAGGTGCTTGAATATCTATAATGCTGTCATTAGGGCCCTCATCAGCTTATTAGCTGCCTCTGTCTGAGAAAGGGAAAAGGTATCTTTTCTGAGGCAGAAACAAGCCAAAGAGGTGCATGGCCCCACTCCCCCCAATGGATGTACCCTTGTATACAAGGCTACTGCAATACAGGAAAGCCACAAGCCACACTTGCATAACATCAGGGCAGTTTTTTCCATTCTTCTCTGTGTATTCATGACCTCGATAATAAAACCACCATATATTGCTTTTTATGTTTTAGTGATCCATAAAAAGCTTGTTTGTAAATATAGTATATATATGCAACACTTGCAATTGTGAGTTCACACCCCAGATGACTACATGTGTTAAATTTCTTTGTTTTCCTTTTTTAAAAAAGATTTTATTTATTTATTTATTTATTTATTTATTTTAGAGAGGTAGAGAGAGAGCCAGCAAGGGGGAGAGGGTTGGGATGGGGAGAGGGACAAGCAGACTCCCCGCCGAGCACCGAGCCCCACATCAAGGGGGGGGGGCCTCGACCTCAGGACTCTGAGATCACAACCTGAGCAGAAATCAAGAGTGGGACACTTAAATGACTGAGCCACCCAGGTGCCCCTCTTTGCTTCCCTTCTAATGATTCCAAATTAGCATGGACTTCAGACATTTTAGGACATTTCAAGATCTTCCTAAAAAAATGTTGTTGCTTAAAATAAAGTAATTGAAAAAGCCCCTCATTACATGACAGACTTTACAAGTACATGAATTTAAGGTGATTTCCTATTTTCACTTAAATAATTTTTTGGGGGGAAACCTTACCTCATGTTTGGGGATATACAAGACCTTGAAAAATTGATCTACCCCATCCTCTTTTTTTTTAAAGATTTATTTATTTATTTGAGAGAGCAAGAATGAGAGAGAGTACATGAGAGGGGGGAGGGTCACAGGGAGAAGCAGGCTTCTCACTGAGCAGGGAGCCCGATGCAGGACTCGATCCTGGGACTCCAGGATCATGACCTGAGCCGAAGGCAGTTGCTTAACCAACTGAGCCACCCAGGTGCCCGATCTACCCCATCCTCTTAGTCAGCGGTCTCTAAACACTTAAAACATACTCCTGGTAGTAAAATTTTTGAACATCTCCAACACATCTTATAAATTATGTGCATGCACTATTACTGATATTTTATGTATCTTTTACATAAAGTGGACATTTTCAAAAGGACTATAAAGATAAAGAAGACACAACAATAACCAGTATTTAAAAATAATGTTATTTTTAGTCCCAGTGTCAATCAGAGGCCCCGTACTTCTGGGAAGACCTATGAATGGGTGCAGGACAGGCAAGAGTTGAGCATGGAGACACATGGAGGTGGGGGAGGGCATCCCAAGTGACAGGTGCATTGTGGGCAGAGGCCCAGAAGTGGGACAGGACATGGACCTGGACAGGGACAGCAGATCGGTTTGGTGGGAGAGCAAGGTGAGCCCAGGAGGGTAATGGGAGATAGGACAGATATGAGGCATAGGTTCACCTGGCTGAGAAGGCCTTAAATGCATGACTGTGACAGGCAGTGGGTGCCATGATATCTGAACACAGGGCAAGATGTGTTGCTTTGGGAAGCTTAATTGGACTACAACACACAGAATGAGATGGGATTCCATACCCAAATGCCTTCAGGAGCCAGGCAGAGAAAAATAAATGTGTAATGGGAGTCACATGAAACAATGAGGAGTCCTGAGCCAAGAACTGGGATGTATGTGTCCTGCTTGAGGGCACTGAAAATTTAACTGCTTAAAGGTGTCTTGCTGGCCAAATGAAACACAATAGCTAGCCATATTCAGCTGCACGCTCCCAGCTTTATCACTTGCGGGGAGCAAGGTAACCACGTAGAGGTCTACTTCCTACACCAGCAGCCTGGGCCTCCAGCGCAGAAAACGGAGAATGCAGGAGAGTGGGTAATTTCACGAGAACCCACAGGAATCAACAGAATTTGGCAAGCTGCTGAATGGGGGATACAGGAGGAAATCAAAGGTGAGACTCAAGTTTTGTGTCTGGGTGACTGTCAGGATGGCAATGCCATTAAAATTACAAACAGAAGGTAAGCCAGGGTTCAGAGGGATGATGATACGAGTTTGAGGAAATAGGAAGAGATCTAGGTATGTTCACTGAGCACTCAGACATGTAGGAATGGAGTCTGAAAAGGAATCCCAAATCTGGGATTCATCTGTACAGTTACCAGACAGCAGAGGAGACGGGAGGAGAGCTTGGACACACTTACTGGCTCCACTCTGTGTTCTAATGAGGGCAGGGACCTTCTGTTTAGGGGAACAACTGTCACAGCGGAAATAAGACTCGGAATGAATCTTGTTCGCTGTGGTATCCCCATCCTATCATCATCAGAATACCTGGTTTATACCAGCACTCAGGTAGGAAAGTGCTGTCCAATGAGAAACTTGCCAGAGCACAGGAGAACAATAAAATACCAGATAAGCCACGGGAGGAGAAACACACAAGGTGCTAAAGGCTATGGAGGGGTGTGTATGTGTGTGTGTGTATGTGTGTGTGTGTGTCGTTCTAAAATATGGCTCATCGTCTCACTCTCCAGTTTAAAAACTTAAATTATTAATGGGAGGTGCAGTCCCTTCTATGCAAATAAAAAAGATACAGTAAATTTAAGTATACACCCAGTGTTTTCTAAGATTATATTTTAGCAGTTGCTACCTTTGGGTAGAGGCCTAGGCCTCTGCGGTGCAAAAGCATTTGAGAGCTTTGTAACAGCCGCAGTTTCTTACTACAGGAATTTACTTTCTTTTGCTCATGGGTTGTTTGGACTAGTCTTCCCCCCCCATGTTTTTACATATTAAAAATATTCCTAATGGATGTTTATATGCATTTCCCACTGCCTCCTGGATATATCTTTCACCTTTTCTAATATGCCCCCAGCCAGTTTTTCCACTTTCCTCTCTCAATACATACTCACACCCACCTCGCTCTGCACAACGCAATACTTCTCCCTGCCAGGTCCTTTCCAAATCCCTCCACCCCCCACCTTCCCAGATTGGCCAGGTGGAAATAGTGTCCCTCTGTGCGCCCCAAAGCTCCCTAAGGAACCTTGCGTTCCAGCCCCTGCGTAGTGGAGAGGGGTGGTCAGTGCACAGCCTTCCTCAGCAGCTTCTGGGGTAGGTCTTAGAGTCAGAGCCTGTCCTGGCCCTCGGCCTCCCTCCCGCAGGAAACAAGGAAGTGCCCCAGCTCCACACCCTACTCATCGGAACTGGTGGGAGTGACGGGGCGGAGCTCTGACTGTGGGGGGGGCCTCTGCCCCTCTCTCTCCACCTCACCTCAGACCCCACGAGAAGCCGGGGTCATCCACGCATCCCCCAGGCCAGCCCCTCCAAAGGATCTAGGGGCAGTGAGGCACCTTCCTTAGACTCTTCTTTTCTGCCTCCTCTCCACCCCCCGCCCCCGAGTCCCTGCTCTTATTACCATTTGACGGCGTCTGTGTTTGTCTCCCTTCCCTAAACATTAAACTCAGCCAAGGCAGGGCTTTCGTCGGTTTTGCTCGGGGCCGACTGGCCTAGAACTGTGCCCGGCATACACACAGGAGGCGCCCAATACCTCCTATTAAATGCTGATGTAGCTGCTCCAGAGTTTATGAAATGAGCGGACAGACAAGAGAGGCCTGGGCGTCCGCTCCCCAGGCGGCCGCAGGAGCCCAGCGCTCGGCGGCTCGGGTGGGGCTGGGGTTGGCGGAGTGGTGCCGTGCAGTCCCCTGGGCGGCCCACCGCCCGCCCCGACACGTCCAGCCCGAACTTCGGGGCCACTTCCCCCCGGGGAGCGCGGGGGGCAAGGACGCGGTGAGGAGGGCCACTCCGGGGCCACCTCCCGCCCGGCCGGTACCTTGGGGCACTTCTCGTAGTAGTGCTGCTGCGTGCGGATCCAGCGCCCCACCAGGTGGTCGCGCACCGTGTGCGCCAGCGCGAAGAAGTAGTCGCGGGGGGTGGCCACGTTGCGGTCCTTGATCAGCGTGAAGTGCAGGTGCCGGTTGAAGCCCTTCTTGAGCTCGGCCACGTTCTCCACGCCCACGATGCCGCGGATGCTGATCTGCCGCCGCTTCTCCTGGTCCGTCAGGGGCTTGGCCATGGCGGCGGCGGCGTTGGCGGGCAGCGCGGCGAGCTGGACTAGCGGCCCAGGCGCCGGAGGCAGGGCAGGGGCGGA